GGCCAGTACTGCACAGCATCATAGCCTGCTTTGGTCTGCACTGTTTAACAGCAAATGGGAATATATTTACATGGTAACATTATAAGTGCATTTAAAATCCAAGTTCATGGTAGTTGAATCTAAAATAACTATTTTACGTGTTTTGCAGAAAACGCATGTTTCAGAAGAGATGGGTGAAATTTGACGGACTTAGCCTTTCTTACTACAATAATGAGAAGGTAAATACACTTTATAGTTTTCAAAGATTGCTTTATGAATACTAAGAGCACTTCAGTAAAGTAAGCATGCGATTTGTCTTTCAAGAACTGGGGGTGGGTTATAAACATGAAAGGAATTTAAATAGGGTAAAAATCATTCTTGTTTACTCTTTTCATAATTTTAACTTTTCCTTGACATGTAAAATTTGCTATCTAATGGTTATTTGTAGTGTATTTTCTATAAACCTTGGGAACTCCTAAGAGCAGTATGAAGCTGAAGAAGCAATTGCCCTTACCCTTGAGAGCACGCAGGGGTGGGTACAGATGGCACTAGGAGAGAGGCAGGGAGATGTTGCTTCATCTGGGATTGGGAGGGAGACATTGATGTGAGATTTCATTTGCTATATACAACTGGAAGAAGGGGATTGCTTCTATATGTACAAACTAGGAGAAACGAGGGCCCGTTAGCAGAGAGAACGGTAGAAGCCCAGATGGGGAGTGTGGACCACATATGGTATAACTGAGTAGTTTTCTCCCGTTGGATCAGGGTGAAAAAGACTTAGGGAAGACAAAGTTGAAAAGGAACTAGAGTTCATTGAAAATCTTAACTGTTACGGAAAGATGGTTACAATGTATTCTTTAAGCAGTTGAGTCTTAAAGACGTGAGGTGGAGTTTTGATCATACCGTTCCTGTTAGGTATAAGCATGTCTTTATTCTTACCTGATGAAGGTTGAAAAATGTAGACATTCTGTGTCATTATAGCTGCAGATGGCTTTCAGATGTTGCCTATCTTTCTATATTTATATTTGTAAACACGTATTTATTTGCATATGTGCATAATTAGATAAAACAAATTCTGAAGATATGAATTGTGAAATCTAGATGGAAAATATGAGTGCTCATTGTCATGCTTTTTTAACTTTGAATATTTTCTTAATAAAAACTTGGAATTAACAAATATACTACCATATGTTTAGATAACTAAAATCAGATGATTTTTTTTGTTGTAACTATGCTTTTTTGTTATATACATAAAGGCTTAATCCTATTCTCTTATAATTTATAGCTCATAATCTAACATTAGTTTCTCCATATTTAGAGATTTCCACAGATATCATGGATATTTTTGTTGTATCTGTGGTTTGAATAGAGATTTAGATTTCCTCTTTCTTATATGTCACTTCTCCATTGCTACAGGACAGAAGAATATGTGCTTTTATTCTTTATTTATTTTTAATTTCACATTAATGTGAGGGCACAATTAGATTATGGTGTTTGTATTTGTTGGGTAGAGACCCCAGTATGGTTTTGTCCCACACCAGGAGGTGTGCCCTATACTCTTACATTATGCTCTTGAAATGGAAGCACACCCATCCCCCTCCTGCCTGTCCTCTCCTCCCTCCCTCATTCCCCCTGCTCCCCACCTTGAATGGATTGAGTTTTTCTCTTATGTGAGTATGCATTAGATCGTCTGCTGGCTTTATGTTAGTATTGAGTACATTGGATTCTTGCTTCTCCATTCTTGTGATGCCTTACTAAGAAGAATGTGTTTCAGCTCCATCCAGGTTAATACAAAAGATGTGAAGTCTCCGTCTTTTTATGACTGAATAGGATTCCATGGTATACTAATACCACAGTTTAATGAATTCATTCCAGGGTTGATAGGCATTTAGGTTTTAAACAGAAAGTAGTGCATATTACAACATAGCACATACCAAATGCTTTATTGCCAAGACTAATAGATGGTTTAAGAGAAGGATTTGTTGTGTGGTTTCACTTTCCAGTGAACTAAATTAAGCATTAGGTGAGTTTGAACACACCTCTTTGCGGTTTGTAAGATGATGGGATGAGTACTTTTTTAAAACCTTGTTTTCTGCTTTAGCTATGTTTAGTCTGCTTGTGCATTTGAATGTTGAGATAATTTCTATGCCTGGGGAAAGTAGAAGATAGTTTGCACATCTTATGGAATCTGACTGCTGTTTTTTTCCCCACTTTTCCGGTTTGATTGAGTTGAAGAAGAAAATTATGCAGTCGTGAGACTGGCTTCCATGTGAGTCTCTCTTTTGGTGGTAGAACCATTCTTCCCATTTGAGAGAGAATTTCTAGTAAACTGGACTTTATTTTTCTCTTTCTCTCCAGATGTCCTCTTAAAGATTTTCTCACCTGCAGCAAAGAGAAGAGAGCTTATTACATTTTTAGATATTGATGCAATAAAGATGATTCAAGCTTAGTATGAAATTGAGATTAAAAGTTTACATTAAAATGAGTTATTACAAATAATTTAGCTTATCTTTTAAAAGTATTTCCTTATCATTTCATCTATTTACTATTCATATGATTGGCTTCATTGGGCAAAATATAAAATCACCAGGGTGGATGTTTCCTAAAAATAAGTACAATTTCTGTTGTGATCCTTCTGACAAAGATACATCTAAGAGTGGCTGGAGATGCTAC